TATATATATATATATATATATATACACATAGAGAGAGAACTTTTCTCATATATATATTTGTGGGTCCCATTCACCTTCTCACTTTTTGTCTGTGTGTCCACTCATAAATTAATGCTATTACTGTATTACTGTTATTGGCGGATTGTGTATGGGAGGGACACAAGAGTTACAAGCAATAAAGGTAACTACTGTTACAGAGAGGCTACCCTAAGAAATTAATTCACACAGATGTGGGGGCTGGCAAGTCTAAAATCCATAGGGCAGGTGATGGCCTGGTGACTCTGGCAGGGGTATTTATCCTAAAGCAGAATCCTTTCTTGAGAAAGGTCCTTTGTTTGTTCCTAAGGCCTTCAGCAGATTAGAGGCCCACCCCCCAGTGAGATGGATTGGCATAGTGACAGCAGCAGTGGAATCAAGGGTTGTTGTTGTTGTTGTTAGGTGCCATCGAGTCGGTACCGACTCATAGCGACCCTGTGCACAGCAGAACGAAACACTGCCCGGTCCTGGGATCAAGGGTAACGGAACACAGTTGTGAGGAACACAGTTGTGAGGACCCGCAGTGTTTTGTTCTGTTGCGAATAGGGCCGGCCGCTGTGAGTTAGAACCTACTCAACAACAACATTCACATTATGGAGGGCAACATGCTTTACTGAAGGTCAACTGATTTAAATGTTAATCACATGTAAATGCCTTCAGAGCAACAACCACACTAGTGTTTGACCAAACGACTGGGCACCATAACCTAGCCATGTTGACACACAAAGTTAGCTATCATATTCCCCAAGAAGGCAATACCTGGCCACTAGCTTGCTCCCAGGTTTGTAAGGAGGGGACTCATATATGGGTCTGTCCTCCAGAGTGTTAGGAATAGAGGTGCTTGTCTGAGTCCCTGCTTCTTCCCTCAGCTTCTCTGGGCCCTGTTCTTGTCTGAAAAGTCCATTCAGGAAGAGGAGCCTGTGATTTCGTTTTCTGACCAGCCTCCAGTCATTTTCTGACTAGACTTACATCTCTCTTTATCCCCTTTCCCCCTTTGGCAGATTGGGACGAGTGTGCAGACAGCCGGGAGAATGACTGTTCGGCTGCCGCCCAGTGCCTCAACCTGGAGGGCTCCTACACCTGCCAGTGCCTGACAAGCAGAGACATCAACCCCTCCCGGGTGGGCCGGACCTGTGAGGGTAGGTGTCCTGAAGCTCCAGGACTGGGGGAGGCAGGGCTGACATCTCCCTCAGACTAAGAGAACATTGTGCCTTGGACCCACAGTACTTTCAGGAGCCCATGGAAATGCTTTGAGCTTAATTTCTTTTAAAACCCAAAGAAAGACATTAACAACTAATTTTCCAGCTACAGTGGAGTCGACTCAGACCCCTGGTGACCCCATGAGTGTCAGAGCAGAACTCTTCTTTACAGGGTTTTCCAAAAGTGGATTGCCAAGTCTTTCTTCCAAGCTGCCTCTGTATGAATTTGAAACTCCAACCTTTTGGTTACTAACCCAGCACATTACCCATTTTTGCCTCCTCCAGGGACTCTGATATAATAATAATGAATCTCGCCTGGATTATAGTCATCCTTATTTCAATGTAATTGTAAAATATAATTATTAAGGCTTTGTTTTTTATTATGTAGAAGGAGCTCATGGAAGTCATATACCCCTCTGATAGAGAGGGTACTTTAGGTGACTGCAAGCCTGAGAGAGAGGGTCTGGAGTCCAGGTGAGCTGAGCATGAATAAGTGCCTAGAGATGAAGTCTCCTGAACCCTAGTTTTGATGTGCCTCTGCCATGAATCTTTTTTGGAACCAATTCAGATCAGTTTGTTGGGGCTGTCTGGAGTGCTGAGTTGAGAAGCCATGCCCAGACTTAAATACTGATGCTCGATTGGTTATGTCTGGCCTGGATGCAGCCTTGGATTGCTGTCATTCAAGCTGGAAAACACAGTAGAGAATTAATCCCTATGGAGAATAACTCTTTTCCTTAAAAAATAAAATAAAATAAAATGGTGTATAGTCCCAAAATTTCTCATCTCTTTTTATTGTTGTTGTTGTTGTTGTTAAGTGCCGTCGAGTTGGTTCCGACCCATAGCGACCCTGTACAGGGTTTCCGAGGGTGTAAATCTTTACTCTTTTTATTATTCACCCCAAAGTCCAGTAAGCTTACAAGAGAGACCCACTCAAGTTCCACTGGAGTACAAATTTTCCCCTCTCCCCATATTGCTCTAGGAACTGAGCCCAGCTGTGCCATCCTGGTTCTGCAGCCCTGAGGTGGTTTTCATTTCAGGATCTTAGCTGAATTATTTATCAAGTAGGGCACCTGCCTAGCTTCCTGCAAGAACTTTGGTGAGACCCAAACTCACAGATAGCAACCAGGGTAACGCACATCCCCACTTTGGGTTCACCTGGAAAATACAGGTATCATCTTACTGGATGGTCCTTGGTTTCCTCTCAGGCAGGGCACCCTGAGAAGCAGAGAGACTTCTGATAGCTGGGTAGACCAGATGGCCATGAGTGGACCAGGTAAATGAGATGTCTGAGCAGGGATGTGTGTGTATGTGTTGGCAGGTGAGGTGGTGAATACCACAGAAGGCATGATGCCTCCGACAACACAGGCGATGGCCCCAGCTCTTGGGACAGCAGCATCCACTGAAGGTATTGCAGTCACTACAGACAGGTCCACCCCAGGGACCCCTGCCTTGTCACAGAGCCCCAAGAACCAGTGGAACACCTCAGCAGTAGACCAAACCTGGACCCCTGGACTCCTCCCCAAGAGAGGGGATAAAAGCAGCACCACTGGGAGAGACAGGAACAGCACAGAGAACAGAATGAAGGAGGATGCATCCAGTGTGACCCCAGGCCTGGTGACAGGCCAGTGGGGAACAGACGGGGTGGCCAGCACCACGACCTCGGTGCCAACCCACAGCTCCCTTCTGGGGACCACACATGGCCAATTGGACTCCACTGGGCAGTTATTGCAGACCTCAAGTGTGGAGTCCAGCTCCTGGCTACCCCCTACAGCGGACCCCACAGGCCACATAGCCTGGCACCCCAGCCCCTCAATGCAGGACACACCACCAACACCTGTGAATACCACATGGCCATGGAATTTGGACCCTAGGTCCTCCAGCTCCCCGGACCTGCCATCAACTTCCAGCCCTTTTTCTCCAAACACCTCCCCCTGTGGTGAGTAGCTTAAAGGGTGCATCCTGGGTGGAAGGGCCATTGCAACTGTGCGGTCTTTATAATTTCAAGTTGCAAAGACTCATTCAGTTGTAGAGTCTAAAGACCTTGTAGAAATATTCTGGGGCCTTTCTGTTATTTGGATGAGTAAGTCTAGGTGCCAAGAGGCTGTGCTCCCAGCGGCAAATTCCTGGTTTAGTTAGGATGAGTACACCTCATTGTCACTCAGCCTTTTCCCCACTCAGCCTCTTCCCTACCCCATTCCAATGTCAGGACCTCTGATTTGTGAACAGTTCTGGTAGGATGTTGAACACTGGAGAACCTTCAGGTAATATGAGGGACAAAGGCACTGGGGTATACCCTAGCAGTGTCCTGCACCTTCAACACCATGTGCACCCTCAATAGTTCTGTGCCCTCAGCAGTGTGAACCCCCAGAAGTTCCATGAAAGGATTTAGCCATTGCAGAGGCCCCAGTGATATCAGGGGCACAGGGCAGCTCTGTGCAGCCTAGGTCTGGGCCTTGCCATCTCCCATAGAGCTGGCAGAGCAATCCCAGCTTGTCTTCCTCCAAATGAAACCTGCTGTTAGGTGTGATCTCCATCAGTGCATTGCCTCTGCTAAACAGTTCTGGTAGCGTGGTGTTTATGAGTCAGGTTGCTAACCTTAAGGTCAGCAGTTTGAAACTACCAGCTGTTCTGATGGAGAAAGATGAGGCTTTCTGCTGCTCCCATAAAGATTTACAGCCTCAGAAACCCTATACAGGGTCGTTATGAGTTGGAACCGACTCCACAGCACACAACCACCACCAAACAGTTCTAGGGCTCGGCGCTGAAGCTCTCATAGCAGAACAGCAAGGATCTTAGGTCCCCCAACAAGGACAGTCTATGCTCACACTATGGAAATCCAGGGCTTAGAAAGTAACCAGTCCCTCGTGGGAGCTGCCCAGGACCTGCCCAAACCAAAACCTACACCCAGTGCCAACAAGTCGATTTCAACTCATTGTTGTTAAGTGCTGTAGAGTCAGTGTAGAATTATAGTGAACCTGTATAGGGTTTGCGAGGAGGGCTTGTGGGTTTGAACCACTGACAGTTAGCAGTCCAGTGCTTATCCTACTGCACCACACCAGGACTCCTATATAAGGCTTCCAAGATTAAATATTCATGGGAGCAGACAGCCTTATCATTCACCGTGGAGCAGCTGGTGGATTTGAACCACCACTCTTGAGGTTAGCAGCCCAATGCCTAACCCACAGCCCTTTCTTTCAGGGAGTCTAGGAACCTCAGGGGTGTGTTTGAATCACCCCCAGAAACCAAACCAAACCCTGAATCCTTTACTTTCATCCCGAAGTGGAAGGGTGTTGTCCTAGAAGGTGTAGGCAGTGAGGGGATGTCCTGGGGCCTGTTGGGTGCTGTCACCTGAGACCTTGGCATCCCCAGTGTGAAGTCAGTGCATTGGCACCATTCCTCTCCCTGAGTCCTCTGTAGCGGAGAAATGGTGTCACGGAGGGCTCTGAACATAAGCCCTGGAGGCAGAGAACCTTTCTGTCCCATAGAGTTTACCCCTTAAACCCAAACCTAACCCATTACCGTTGGTGGGTTCCGTCTCGGAGGAACCCTATAGGACAGAGTAGAACTGCTCCCTAGGGTTTCCGAGACTGTAAATCTTTTTTTTTTAGTTTTTCTTGTGAATTGAGTGATAGTTTACATAGGAGAACATCAGTTTCACACCATTGTTTCATTGCAATGATTACAATCTCCTCTGTGCATCATCATGCAACAGTATTTGCTTCTATTCCCTCTTTTTTTGGATGTACACAAAAACACTCATGCATATATAATCATTTAAACAACCAAAGGGTACATTCTGCAAGCCTGCCTCCTGGCCACCAGCTCTCAGTCCCTCTCTTTCCATGAATCTAGAGTCCTCAGCTGCTCCCTCTCTCCATGTCCTCATCTCTGCCTCCGTCTCTGGTGTCACTGTTTCTCTGGATAAGGTCCCACATTCTGCTTGTGCTCTTTTCCCTTGATGGTCCTAGGGTCCTCTGTTCCTGAACTATAAGATTAACTACTCCCTCCTTTTTGTTGCAGAACTTCTACATTTACAGTTGTGACAGTCGTAATTAGTCATGATTGCAATTATTCATTATTGAATCATAAGAATCTTATTCCTGTTTCCTTTCACCAGACCTGTCTAGACAAGATGAATACTATTCAGTGGGGCTTCTACCTTCCCCTGAATACTCGGAAACTAAACTCCCTCTTGAAAATTTGTAAGCTAGTCACTTCATGACTTTATAGTCTTCCCCTACCCCCCACCATTTTAGGTAGCCAATGTCTAAGTTGCCCATCCCTCCTTATTAACCCTGTGTACAGAGGGGGATAGGCTTGATCCTTGATGTGAAGACTCCTTTCCTCTCAGTTGGTATTTTGAGCTACTACATCCATAATTATAGGTTAAGTTCATCAAATTGTAGCAATTTACATTCATTTCCTGTATCAAAATTTTTTTATCTTCCTCTAGTCGAGTTCAGATCATCAAGTTATTGAAGTTAGGTCAAGTGGGTACTATCTGCAAGAGACTGTAAATCTTTAAAGGAGTAGATAGCCTCATCTTTCTTCTGTGGAGCAGCTGGTGGGTTCGATCCGCCAACCTTGCAGTTAGCGACCCAATGCCTAGTCCATGGTACCACCAGGGCTCTTTTTAGATCTTTCTGGACATTTCCTATAAATGGAAGTATACAATACTGCCCTTTTGTAGCTGATCCTTTCCAGAAGAGAGAAAAGAAGCTCTTCTTAGAGGATTTTATATTTGAAATAACCAAGGATGGGAACTTCATGAGAGAGTTGAGACAAAGTCTGAGACATTATTGTATCAGCCCCTACTGTCTTCATCTGGATTGTTTGGCTCTTCTGTCTCATGGGTGATGTGTGCAAATAGAAAGTGTGGTTACCATTGGCACCTTTACCTGATGGACAAAAGTCTGGGGCTAATATTTGATGTCTGGACTCAGGGATCAGAACACTGACATTCACCAGCTGAGCAGTTTTGTGAATGCCGCTCATTGATAAGAACTTTAAAAGTCTATTCCTAATATTATAATGTTGGAGGCTGTGCCCTACCTATATGAATATTTGATTTTTCGCATTAGGAGAGGCTTCTCTTGACCTTTCTCCTTTGATGGATTTTAATTGTACCTTTTTTCTTCCACTTTCCAGTTCCTGTCCCCATCAAAAGGATCATGATCCACAATGTGACCAGCACCAGCTTCCATGTGGTTTGGGAGGCAGACCTTACCCTGCGCCCCACTTTCCAGTTCACTCTGACTTCTATGCAAAACCACACCTTAGACTTTGAGGTCCAGAACACAAGTCTGATGCTGTTGGGACTGGAGCCTGGCGTCTTGTACAAGGTTGTAATAGCAGATAAAGCATGTGGAAAAGAAAGTGCCAAGGTGCACTTGAAAGTCAGGACAGGTAATGTAGTTCAGAAGCATCTGTCATGGTTCATTCTGAAAGGGAAAGAAAGAAATGCTTTCAAAAGATTTCAGGTGGATTGAGGTTTTAGAAGAGCTGGATTTGTTTGAGGGCTGCCAGGTTTCTGTTTTCTTCTCAGGGTAGAAATGTCTGAGTTCAGACTCAGCTGGTGTGCCAGGTATGGTGTTGTAGTCTTCTAGCACTGCCATAACAGGAATACCACAGGTGGATGGTTTTAAAGAGCAACAATTTGTTTTCTCACAGTCCTGGAGGCTAATAGTCCAAATCAGGATCTTGATGTATCGATTCCTTCTGTGGGCCTCTTTCCTACTTTCTGTCATCGGCCAGCAATCCTTGGCTTGTTGACATGGTGTCTGTCTTTCCCTGTGTGTGTCTCTGTGCCTGCTCTTTTTATAACTCAGGGCTCAACCGTACACTGGTTTGATTGTATCAACATAAAAGGATAACCCTACTTCCACACAGGGCCACATCCACAGGTACAAGGGCCAGGACTTCAATACATATTTTGGGGGACACATTGCAATCCATAATACATGACCTGCCTCATTTCAGTAAAAGGAGTTGGGCAGCCTTTGGGTGAACACACACCATTGCCAAGTGCTCCAGACTTTGCCAGCAGAAAATACAGACGGGAATGTATGTGTGGGTCTCTACAGAGCTGTATCCCATTTACTGTCACTAGACCTGCATTTGGCTCTCAGAAAGGACAATAACAGACAGTCCAACTGTTAGGCAGAAAGATAAACAATCTGTGATCGATTCATCAGGACATGGCCACACAGAAAAAGGGACAGTGGTAGAATTGAGTGATAAGTCAAATACAGACTTCAATGAGCTGAAGGTGACCCTTGTTCATGGTTCCAATTGCTAGGTGCCATCGAGTTGGTCCCAACTCGTAGAAACCCTCATTACAGTAGAACTGAACACTGTGCCGTCCTCACAATCTTGGTTCTGTTTGAACTCATGATTGCTGCTACTGTATCAATTTTCTTTCTCACTGATGTGGTCAACTTTACCAAGCATGATGTCCTCTTCCAGAGACTAATCCTGCCTGATAACATGTCCAAAGGATGTGAAATGAAGTCATGCCATCCTCACTTCTAAGAAGCATTCTGGCTGTACTTCTTCTAAGACACATGTTTGTTCTTCTGGCTGTCCATAGCATAGTGAATATTCTTCACCAACACCGTAATTCGAAGGCATCAGTCCTTCGTTCTTTATTCATTGTGCAGTTTTCACATGGATGTAAGACAATTGGAAATACCATGGCTTGGATCAGGTGCACCTTAGTCAAAGTGACACACTTGCTCTTTAACACTTTAAAGAGGTCTTTTGCAGCAGATTTACCCAATGCACTGCATTGTTTGATTTCCTGGTGCAAATTCCATGAATGTTGATCGTAGATCCTAGTAAAATGAAATCTTTGACTTGAGTCTTTTCTCCATTTATCTTGATGCTGTTTATTGGCCCTGTTGTGAGGATTTCTGTTTATAGATATACAGACCAGTAAGCTTCTTCTTTCCTCCCATAATAGCATTTGTAATATGGATATTTTCCTTTTTTAATTTTTTATTGTGAATTATATGATAGTTTACATGAGAGAACTTTAGTTTTACATTCATTCCATCGTATATCATTTCATTGCCATGGTTCCAATCCCCTCCATGCATCATCAACGGACCAAAGGGTATACCCTATAAACCCGCCCCCTACACTCCACCCCCCACCCCAAGTTTTCAGCGCACAGTCCCTCTCCCTGGATATTTTCTTAAGCTATAACTTAACTGACTAGCAAGTCTGCATGTGATGAAGCTTTGTTTTTTAAGGGGTAGGGGAGGACGCACATTACTACTGGGCAGTACCTGCTTCCCCTGGTTTTATCCCTGGGTCCTCTGAAATCTGGGTACTCAGTCTGCACTCCAGAGCCCTAGGAAGGTTTGGTTTATATTCTTAGTGGCCAAATGAAGAACAAAGTTTTAAATAATGAAATGGTAGTCTGTCATCTTCTACGTAGCAGTTACAAACGTTGGTATTCTCTATCCTACAGCGGCCCAGAAACTCAGTGGAAAAGCTCGAATAGCAAACATCAAGTATTCAGAAGACTTCCGTAACGTGAGCAGCAAGGAGTACCAGGACTTCCTAGAACACTTTTTTAGGATGGTAAATCGATAATTCCATGGCCTGTTTCTTTCTGGGACCAGAGGGATGGTAGGGGGAGGAGAGCTAGAAGTCTATTTTCATCCAATCAGGACCTGGGCTGCAAGCCTATGATAGCGTCCTCTTTTTAAAGGAAGCTGGGATGTGAAGCACTGGTAATGGCAGGCATGCCAGCAGACAGGAGTCAGGATGGTGTTCTCTGTAGCTCTCTTGCTTTGCATGAATTTTGCTCCAGTGATCAATTATGAGGTTCTGTGGAGAAGAAAAGGAACCCTGGTGGCACAGTGGGTTAAACAGTGAGCTGCTAACTGAAAAGGTCAGCGGTTCTAAGCCACCAGCAGCTCTGCGGGAGAAAGATGAAGCTGTCTGCTCCCATAAAAATATACAGTCTCGAAAACCCTAAAGAGCAGTTCTACTCTGTCCAAAAGGCCATGATGAGCCAGAATTCACCTGATGGCAGTGGACAGATGGTGGAGCAGAAAATGAGTGTGACTGGCACAGTGGTGAAACCCTTGGATGTGACCGGAAGGGTCAGTGAGTCCAACCCACCAGCTCCTCCACAGAAGAAGGATGTGGCAGTCTGCTTCAGAAAAGACTGTTGCTGTTTTATTATGAAGAGCCATTGAATAGGTTCTGACTCATATGAACCCTGTATAGAATTTCTGAGGCGTGACTGGTGGGTTTGAACTGCTGACCTTGTAGTTATAGTACCCCAGTACTTATTCTACACCCGGACTCTACAGATTACAGATTTGTAAACCCTGCGGGGTAGTTCTACTCTGGCCTAGAGGTTCCTATCAGTTGGATTCATTTCTGTCAGTGGGTTTGGATTTTGGGGGGTGGAGCAGAAAGCTCCTCCCCTGCCTTTTTATGAAAGTAAAACCAAACAAAAACCCACAAGATCTCTTTCACTTAATATAAAATTCACCTTTAAAACGTATAATTCAGTTGCCTTTAGCTTATTCCCAGAGCTATGCAAGCATCCCTACAGTAAATTTAAAACATGTTTGTTGTTGTTGTTAAGTGCTGTCGAGTTGGTTCTGACCCATAGCGACCCTAAACAGGGTTTCCGAGGCTGTAAATCTTTATGGGAGCAGAACACCTCATCTTTCTCCCGTGGACCAGCTGGTAGTTTTGAACTGCTGACCTTGCGGTTTGCAGCCCAGTTTGTAACCACTACGCTACCAGAGCTCCTGGTAGAACATGTTTATCTCCCGCAAAATAAACCCAGAACCATTAGCAGCCCTCCTCATTTTCCCTCCTCCAAGCCCCTGACAACCTGGAATCTACTTTCTGTCTTTATGGATTTGCATATTCTGGACATTTCATATAAAGAGTGTGGTGGCACTGTAGGATAAGCACTGGACTGCTAACCACAAGGCTGGCAGTTCAAACTCACCAGTCATTCTGCTGGGGAAAGATGTGGCTTTTTACTCCCATAGAGATTTACAGCCTTGGGAAACACAATCACGGGGCACTATGCCTGGGTTTGGTTTTGCTTTGGACATTTCATGTAAATGGAGACATCCAATACTTGTCCTTTCATGTCCAGCTTATTTCACATAACATCGAGTTTTCACGGTCCATCCATGTTGTAGAATGCATCCAAGCGTCATTAATTTTTATGGCTGAGTAACATTCTTTTTGCTTATCCATTCATCTATTGATGAACATTTAGGTGGTTTCCACCTCTGACTATTACATATGTTATGTATAATATTATATCTAACTTCCTTCTTTCTAAAAAAATTGTTCCTACTCTTTTTTGTACTTTCCCTAATTATCCCAGTATGCTAGGATTTGTAAATGGTAGCAATCTCAATATTCTTTTTGAAAGGGGTTAAAATGCCCTTTGAAGAATAGAGATTATGCACTTGCCATAATCTAATCTAATGATTTGATTTGCATAGTGGAAATCACATAAATTTTAGCTGGAAGTTCCCTTTCTAATACCTAGAATAGCGCGAGTTTTACACCGCCATCTAGTGGCAAAGTGTGGACCCACCATAGCATGATAGGAGTGGCGGTGGCCACATTGTGTAGTGTTTTTAAAAGCTTATCCATATGTTGTAGGTACTGATATTTTATTTCTCTTTATAGATGACAGTATTTTATTCTATTATCAGAATTATAAAACATTGCATCTTATTATTATATTATTATAATTACAGATAATTGTATGTATGTACCACATATTGTTTATCAATTAATCTGTTGATGACTACTAGGGTTGTTTCTATCTTTTGGCTATTATGGATAGTAAGGCAACAAACACGGATTCAAGCATCCACCCTGAGTTTCTAGGTTAATCTCTCCTCTTTAAACCATTTCCCTCATTGTCTATTTTTGGGGGCAGTTATTTTTTGTTTGTCTAGAGTTTTAGGATGTGACTTAAATATGTAGGACATTAAACCAAGTTTGAGGAAGTGGTGGGTTAATGGAGTACGTAGTTTTTCACTGCTTTCTAGTAAGGATCCCAGAACTTTGCTTTGAGACTTGCTTGAGATGTAACTAAAAGTGACATTAATCTGAGACCATGGTAGACCCCTGCCTGGAAACCCTAGAGAAAGAGAGAAAGAACAAGAGAGAAAGACAGAGGAAAAAAGAGAGAGAAAGAGAGAGGAAGAGAGAGAGAGAGAGAGGAGCTATTTGCAAGTAATGATGCAGCTACAAGGTGGCACCAACCAAAGGCAGTTCAGGGGCTCTGGGGTCTGCTGCCTTTACTGGGTGGCACAGTGTTGCTCATGCTAGGTTACTCTAAGGCCCAGGAGGGAATCAATGAGCCAGAACTTCAGGACACTGCTCCTTACACCGTTCAGAAGAGGACAGAGTTTTCTCTGCAAAGACAAACCTTGAGGCCTTGCTTTTCCATGGAAGATATGAGTTACATTGGATATTTGAAACTCGTTCTAAGATTGTGCCTTTCTGGGCGTTTTGATCATGGTGGACTAGATGGAATACTATAATGTATGGTGTATGATTCTACAAGGTTGTTGCTAAGTACTGTCAAGTCAGATCCAACTCATAGAATCCCTGTCTAGGGCTTCCGAGACTGGCTGATGGATTTGAATTGCCGACCTTGTGGTTACCAGTCCAGTGCATAGCTGATAGCATCACACCAGGGCTCTGTCCAAAGTTAGAGACGACAAAAAAAGACTTTTAGAGGAAGAAACTGCCTGCCTGAATAGGGATGTTAGAAATGCACACAGGGAAGCATTTTTGGAAAAGATAGGAGGAAACATGCAAGGGAACAACATTCTGCAGCATAAGGAGCACAAGAATGTTCTAGAAAAAAACAGAGTGGCAGTCTGCCTTCCCATGACCACTCAAAACAACACAGTAGTTTATATCAAATCAACCCCGACTCATAGTGACCCCTTGTATGTCAGAGTAGAACTGGCATCGTGGGGTTTTCAATGGCTGATTTTTTAGACGTAGATCACCAGGACTTTCTTATGAGGCATATCTGGGAGGACTCAAACCACTAACCTTTCAGTTAATAGCTGAAGACATTAATTGCTTGCACCACCCAAGTACTGAGCTAAGAGTAGTTGTTGTTGTTAAGTGCTGTTGAGTCAATTCTGACTCATAGCGACTCTATACAGAGCTTCTGAGGAGCAACTGGTGGGTTTGAACAGCCAAACTTTTGGTTCACAGTCTAGTGCTAATCCTGCAGCTCCACAAGAGTATCCAAATGGGATAGTGAGCCCATTACCAAGTCATTTGCTCTGGAGGCTGAGGTCCCTGTCTTGGCACCCGGCCCCATACTCCACCTGCAGGGAGAAACCTTTCTGTAACTGTTTGCTGGTCATGATGGGGACATGCTCTTCTCACTAGCACAGAAACACCCAGGCAGGTGTGGTGACCTTGGGGACACATCAGACAGGAAGGGGCTCTAGAGCTGACCTTGCCTTCCATCTTTTGCCCAGGGTGCCCAGAGGCAAGGGCAGCTCCCCTCATGCTGTGGTCTGTCTCCCTAAAGGTGCAGAGTGCCTTACCAGCCCCCATACTTCAGCTCATGAACCAGGATGGAATTCAGATGGAAATCACTGACATCAGCAACGGCAGCGTGGTGGTGACATTCAACCTACTGATCATTGCAGATGTGGACACCCAGGAGGTGTCAGATGCATTCCTCACCGCCTTACAGAACATGTCTCTGCTGGAGGTGGTCAGAGACGAGACCTTCATCCAAGGTACGTGGAAAGCTGGGCTCCACAGAGACCTCAGCTGGGTTCAAGGAAATCCCTGATATGGACCCTTGTTGCTTTTAAAATTAATTAATTTTTAAACTCTAAGTTTAGAAATCATTATAGAGGAACAAGTTGAAAACAAAGCCAAGGGACGGCCTATATACCCTTCTCTCAGTTTTCCTCAATGGTAACTCTTGTATAGCCGTGTTGTTGATGTGAGATGCCATCGAGTTGGTTCGGACTCACAGAGACAGTCTATATTACACAATGAAGCACCCTCACAATGGTTGTTATGTTTGAGTCCATTGCTCTAGCCACTGTATCAGTCAATCTTGCTGAAGGTCTCCATCTTTTTCACTGACCCTCCACTTTACCATGCATGATGTCCTTCTACAGGAACTGGTCCCTACTGATGATGTGTCCAAAGTACCCGAGACAGACAAGTGGTGGTATATAGTGATAGAAAAAGTCAAAGCAGAAGCTATGCACTTATTTTTGCATGTGTGTTGTTGTTAGCTGTTGTTGAGTCCATTCCGATTCCTATTGCCCCATGTGACTGAGTAGAACTGTCCCGTAGGGTTTCCTAGGCTATGAGAATATTACAAATACATGGACTGCCAGAAGAATCAACAAATCTGTGTGGGACGAAGTACAGACAAGAATGCTCCATTCTTGGTGTCATGGACTTTGGACGTGTTATCAGGAGGGACCAGTCCCTGGGAAGGATATCATGCTTGGTAAAGTGGAGGACCAGCATACAAGACAAAGAACCCATTGAGATGGATTGACACAGCACTACAACACTGCTCTCAAACATTGTGAGGATGGTGCAGGACTGGGCACTGTTGCCTCTTATTGTACATAGAGTTGTGATGAGTCTGAATTGACTTGATGGGGCCTAACAGCAACAGCAAATCTTTATGGGAGCAGATTGACAGATCTTTTCTCCCTCAAAGCCACTGTGTGGGTTTGAGCCATGAACCTTTAGGTTAACAGCCAAATGCTTAACTGTTTGAGCCACCAGGGCTCCTTGTGTGTGTGTGTAGGTCTATGCAATTTTTTCATGTATAGATTTGTATAACCTTTACAACACTCAAGATACAAAAGTATCTCATCACCATGAGGCACCCTTCTGCTATCCCTTTATATAAAACCACAACCCCCTCCTTCCAGGAGTCCTTGTGTGGCACTGTGGGCTAATGCGTCAGACTGCAAAGTCATTTGAAATGTAGGGTCGGTGGTTCAAGCTCATCAGCTGCTCCTTGGAAACTCTATACAGGGTCACTATGGGTTGGAATCGACTTGGTGACATTTAATAACAATAACAACCTCCTTTCAACCTTCCCTAACCCATAAGCTCTGGTAACCACTAATCTTTTATCTGCTTCTATAAAGGATCGGCATTGGCCCACAAGGTTGATTTGGACTGCAAGGTTGGTTGTTCAAACTCACCAGCTGCTCATAGAAAACCAGGTTGCTATGAATCAGAAACGAATCAACCGCACTTAACCACAGCAATAATTGTTTTATTTTTATTTTAAGAATGATAATCATACAGTATGAGTCCTTTTGAGATTGGCTTTTTATATGAGCATAATTCCCTCGAGACCCATCTAAATTATTTAGTGTCTTAGTACTATATTGCTGAGCAGTAGTCCATATGGGTTCCTGGCTTGATACTGTAAGATCAGCACTGGACTAGTGGTTCAAACCCACCAGTTGCTCCTTGGAAACTTTATACAGGGCCGCTATGAGTCGGAACTGACTCAGCGACAGTTAACAACCACCACCACCACCACCTCAACAGTTCATATGGACAGATCAGTATCTTTTTGCTTTTGAAAACTGTTCTTCCCACATTTCCCCTTGAATTGGATGAAAATTTAGGGCCATCCTCATCTCTCTTGGTTGATTAATGAAAGATTTGGGGGGTTCAAGATATCTCCGGGTAGACCTACAAAGATTCCCAGGGTGTTACTCCTTTGTATAGAGGAGCAGGCCCCGCCCAGCACTCTGTCGTCACCTGTTTCCATGGGCTGAGGGCACATCTGGCCTGCTGCATGGCTAGGTTTCCTCACAAGCAGTGTCTCAGGAGATCCTAAGAAAAAATAATTGAAACAAAAAGCAAGGAGCAAAAGACCATCTAAACTCTTATCTTATCTCATACCGGAAAGTAAATGACAGATAGCTCATAGTTCTCTGTGGTGGTGGTGGGTTGTAGAGTTGGTCTGACTCATAGCGACTCTGCATAGGGCTTCTGAGGTTGTTTCCTGTATGGGAAAAAAAAACAACAAAAACAAAAACAGGAAGAAAATACAGATGAATATTTTTCTAATATTTTGGGATGAGAATGATTTTCTGAGTTTAAAGCTAGGAAAATGTAGCCCACAAAGGAAGAGCCTGCAATATTTGACTAAAATAAAAGCACCAATGTAAGGCAAGCAAGAACTTCCCCCAAAATGAAATGAAATAAAATAACAAAACTTTCCACAATTTTGATGAAGGGTTAATATCCTAAATATAGAGAGAGATTATACAAATTGATAATAAAGTGCCCAAATCTGACAAATTAATGTGCAAGAGACCTGAATAGACAATAAAAGAAGAAACACAGGAAAGAGAGATGTGGTAATGAAAGACAAACACATTAAAAGGAGTTTCTCTTTTGTTCAACTTATAGGAAAGCTGTTTGGCTTTGTTTTTTAAAACAATACTGATGAAAGTATGTTAGGCCAGTCATTTGGATACTGGTGGGGATAATAACTGCTAAAACTTCCTGGAAATTTGATAAAGATAAAGATGAAGAGCTTTAAAAATGTACATCCATTTTGACTTTGGATTATCACTTTGGAACTCTTTCCTACAGACACAGATCTCAAAGTGGACCATAGTTTATATACAAAGACACTGACCTTTAGTATTACTCTAAAAGCAAAAGAAATAGGAATAGTCGATCAAAAACTCTGACTCACGGCTACTCCATGAGTTTCAAAGTAGAACTGTGCTCCGAAGGGTTTTGAATGGCTGGATTTTCAGAAGCAGATCACCAGGCCTTTCTTCTGAGACAAACTTTAAGTAGACTTGAGCCTCCAAACTTTGGTTTAGCTGCTGAGTGTGTTACCTGTTCGCCCCACCCAGCAACTGCAGTCTTGTAATTGGGGAAGATATTAGTAAATGACAGCACAATCATAGCTTAATCTGTTATGGAATTATGAAACATGAGATTTGATGAGACTGAACATATTGCCGATACCAGGAGAAGGGGAGAAGCAAAATTCGCATTTGTGAACAGGCATACTTCAGAGATACTGTAAGTTCTGTTGCAGACCACTGTAATAAAGTGAATATTGAAACAAAGGGAGCCTCCCATGTGTACACCATAATGTATCCTGTTAAAGGAGCCCCAGTGGCACTGTAGGATAAGCGCTAGACTGCTAATAGCAAGGTCAGCTGTTCAAACCCACAAGCCACTCCTCAGAGGAAAAAGATGAGGCTTTGTGCTCCTGTAAAGATTTATAGCCTCAGAAACCGTACACAGGGTCGCTATGTACCAGAATGAACTCAATGGCAGTGGTGAGTAGTCTGGTAGTCTGCAATAGCATTATAAAACAGTTTAAAATATTGTGAGAGCTATCAAAATGTGACCCAGAGACACATGCTGTTCATAAGGTGGTACCAATAGACTTATTCAACACAGGATTGCCACAAACTTTCAATTTGCAAAAAAGGCATTATCTGTGAAGCGCAGTACAGCAAGGCCCAATAACTGAGGTAGGCTTATATACAGCATTAGTTTTAGCTGTGTTATAATCTGTATTTTAAGACACTAGAAGGAAATCAATCAACATGTGAGCACTGTTATATCTGAGTGGTGCCCTTAGGGATGCATTTTATATGCTTTGCTGGTTTTTATCCATTTTTTACAGTAATTGGGCATTGCTATTGATAAGATGACAAGGAGCTCTGCTAGCATAGTGGATACGAATTGGGCTGCGAACCTCAAAGTCAGCAGTTCAAAACTACCAGCTGTTCTGCAGGAGAAAGATGAGACTTTCTGCTCCCGTAAAGATTTATAGCCTCAGAAACCCTGTGCAGGGTCGCTATGAGTTGGAACCGACTCCACGGCACACAGCCACCATTGATAAGATAGCTAGCAGAGCACAAAGATGAAGAAAGGCAGATAACTGTGAGGACCTTCTCTTGGGGCTAGTTCTTGATGCCTGGGTTTTTCAGCTTGAGGCTGTGGGCTGAGGTGGTCTCTGCTCAGCTCCTGGTTGGTGATCCTGCTTCCCACCAGAGTTAGTCATCTGTGGTAGAAACAGTCTCTACAGACTTCCTCCTGCCAGCTCATATCTATCCCCAGTGGAAAAGCAGGGTGCCACCTTCTCCCCCAATCTTTCCAGAACCCGAGATCTCCATTATGGTTTGGTCTAATGAAACAGTTCTCCTCTTTGCTCCCTGAGATGCACTTTGCCCACAGGGATGTAAGGAAAGAACCAGAGAAGATGCTCCTCATTCCTGCAGTAATGTTTTCTGCTCTGTGTCCTCATGCAGATTATGATGAGTGTGAAAGAGGTGAAGACGACTGTGTGCCGGGGGCCTCCTGTCATAACACACTTGGGTCTTTCACGTGCAGCTGCACAGAAGGGACCCCTGATTTCCAGGTCGAATACCCTGGGAGACCCTGTGAAGGTAAAGTCCTCCTCATCCTTGTCCTGAAAGACTGTCTGACAAAGTGTTTCTTTAATGGCATTCATATGTAAAATGCTTCTTGGGCAAATAAGATCAGCCTATTTTTATGACCTGGGCAGATTTCTTGATTGTGTGGGTGTATACATGTGCGTGTGTGTGGTCCCTTCAGGCCTTTGCATATATCTTCAGCCTTCTGCGTGGTGCTATAACAGCAACACTACCAGTGAGTGATTTTAACAAACAAATGTATTTTCTGACAATCTAGGAGGCTAGAAGTCTGAATCCAGGGAAGGTTGTTTCTCTCTGTTTAGTCTGGAGTAAAGTCCTTGTCTTCTTTCAACATCTATGGGCTTGTTTTCTTGGAGATCTCCATGCATCTTGGCATCAATCTTCCCTTGGGTCCAGGAGGTTCTAAGCAAAGGGACCCCAGGTCCAAGGGATGCCCCCATTCTTCTTTCTTAGTGGTAGTAGGTTCCCTTGCTTTTGCTCACTTCTCTCTCCTTCATCTGTAGTAAGATAAAAGGTGTTGCAGGACACACCCCAGGGAAACTTCTCTCATTTCTGATTTGGGCTGTGAGGAGATTAAGGTTGTTACATTCCACCTTCATTATACCTGATTGGTTGATCATATCAGTTACATCACTACCAACTTACATCAGTCATAACTGTCAAACCACTGAGAATCATGGCCCAGCCAAGTAGACACACATTTTTTAGGTCATAACTCAGTCCATGTCATGTCTTATTATCTCCAAGTTCTAGTTCTGGTGCCCAAGATGAGAAAATGTGCACATAAACTCAGGCCTTGCTTAGCTACTCTGTATTCAGCAATTTTCCCACTGAAAATGACTTGAGAGGATTTGGAGACTTTTAGAAGATTCAGTGTTGATCCCAAAATGACTCTAGCCTTCTAGGGATTGTAGCCTATTGAAGGGAGACAAATATTTGTGTGAGTAAAATCTGCTGTCACAGGGAATATGAAATGTGCTTTTCTTGAGGTAAAGAAGGGCTACAAAGGAGCATAAGTTATTTCAGTTCAATGAGTGTGTTCAGGGAGGGCTTCCTGGAAGAGGTGCTGGTCTTAAAAGGATAGCTGGCAGAGAGGGCTGCAGTCAGGGCAGGGTGGGATGGAGAGAACAAAGCTGTGTTGATAGAGAAGTTCCCAACATGCAGGCCGGGCTGGCTGGCTGAGGGTCCCTGGATGAAAGGATAGGGAAGAGCAGGGAGTAGGCTGGTGAGGGAGGTGGAACAAGGTCTGATGAGAAAAATAAGAATGCTCTGGTAGCGTAGTGGTTACGAATCGGGCTGCGACCCTTAAGGTCAGCGGTTCGAAACTACCAGCTGCTCCGCGGGAGAAAGATGAGGCTTTCTACTCCCGTAAAGATTTACACCCTCGGAAACCCTATACAGGGTCGCTATGGGTCGGAACCGACTCGATGGCACATAACAACAACAACAACAAAGACAAGGGTGAACTAGGTGAAGAAGCAGAGCATTTGGAGAGGTGTAAAGCATCCTGGGGAGTCCTGGTATAGTGCTGTGGGTTAGTGTGCTGGACTGCAACATTGGTTTGAACCGCAAGATCGGTGGTTCAAGCTCACCAGCCACTCCTAGGAAACCCTATACAGGGTCCCTATGAGCCGGAACTGACTCAATGGCACTTAGCAGCAAGGAGTCCTGATGTGGTGCTGTAGGTTAATGAGTTGGACTGCAAAGTCGATTTGAACTACAAGGTCAGTGGTTCAAGCTCACCAATCACTCCTTGGAAACTCTATACTTGACTGTACTTAACGAAAATGTGTCAGAAGGATTTCAGGGTTAGTCAATGTCAAAGATATGACCACAAGATGGCAGTGTTGCACCTCAGAGTTTGTACTGGAGCAGAACTAGTGACAGGTGCAGAATGTGGAGGGCAATCCCTCACAGAAGAGACCTTGCAAAGGCCAAGTGGCTTAAGGGGCATTTACCAGAAGAAGGAGAGGGCAGGAGAACCTCTATAGAAGGTGAGGGGAAGTGGGGAGCCTACACGTCTAAGCAATGTCCCTCAATAGCAACTTGGGGAGTCTCTGGGTCAGGGAGTTTCAAAGGGCAGTAACAATTTGGGGATCCTTGGAGTCCGAGTGTGGTACTGTAATATCAGCACTGGACTACGAATCACAAGGTCAGCAGTTCAAACCCACCAGCTGCTCCTTGGAAACATTATACAGGGTCTCTGTGCGTCAGAACTGATGTAAGGCACTTAACAACAACAACATTATAAATACAGGGTTTCTCTTGTCTTTAGCTATCAGATGCTGGTAGGCACGGTGTCATGGGATACACAAAGCCTCAAAACGAGCCTATAAAAACATCTGCGCATATAGGCTATTTTTAAAGCAATTGGTGTGTAAAAAATTGAGTTTGATTCCAGAAGGCTTTGGGGGTCTAGCTTGCTATGAAGGACTAAACAACCTGTGGCAATACACAGAGACTGTCTTTGGTTCATTAATGCAACAAATATGTATCCAGAGAGGAAAGAAGGGGTCAATGAGGCCAGCAGGAGACCAGCCTGCACCAGGGAGCAGGCACAGGGAATTTGTGGAAGCATCACCTGACCTCACAGACACCTGTTCTTCTGGCTGTTAAAACCAAGCGTGCTCTGGGGACAAGGAAGGAGCAGGGGCAAGAATGAGGGTCCCAGGGTTCTGCGACTAGATATGATTGACCCTATCCTAGGGAGTCAAACTTAGCCCCTTGAAGTTAGACACCCTGACTCAATCCACAAGCTGGGCACACCCAGTGCCAGCCTGGGAGAGGCCGGAAAGGAAGGGCTGTTATAATACAAATAGCACAAATACATGTTTTTACAGAACAGATCGTTATTTTCTCTGGAGGCTAAAGCCAGAATCAGGTTCTTGGCCACGTTGATTCCTTCCTTGTGTGTGTGCGTGCATGTGGTTTAAATGGGCACTAGCTTGTCTGGGTCATTGTGGAGCAGAGTGGGTTCCTATCTGCTACTCATCCCCCAACCCACAGGTTGGACTTACCTGGCTGGCCCCAAACACTGTCCCATGCCTTGTTTTCTTGTGCCTTGCAGATGACTCTAACAACACAACTCAGGCTCCCGGGTATTCTCTGGCCTCTGACCCAGAGCAGCCTCCCACCTCCCCAGACATCAGCGCTCCCCTCACCACCGGAAGCCTGCCCCAGCGAATGAACCTAACGGGGGCAGTCATGGTGCTCTGTGAGATTGAGAAGGTGACCATCGCCATCCAGAAGCACTTCCTGCAGCAGGAGTCCATCCCGGAGTCCTCCTTGTACCTGGGAGAGCCTGCCTGCAACGTGACCTACAGCAACACCACCCACGTGCTCCTGGCGGCCGGCTGGAGCGAGTGTGGGACCGCCGTGCAGAGTGTGAGGGCTGAGCAGAAGGGTGCTCAGGGATCATGGGAAGGTTCTCATCCAGCCTGGGGGCCAGGGAAGACCCTGCACTCCTAAGGGTTAGGACAGGGGTAAGGTCTTAGCTGTATCCAGGAACCAGGCAGAAGCTGTGTCCCCTGCAGGGGTCCTGATGGAAATGCTGGGTTCACACACTCCTCCGGAGTGACTGAATGAACAGCCCGTGGGATAGGAGGAATACAGCACAGCCCAGGAGTAGCATGTGTGTGTGAATGTGTCTGTGTGCATATGAGGATGGACATATGTGAATGTATGTGAATGTGTGTGTGAAAATATGCATATGTAAATGAGTGTGAATGTGAGTGTATGTATTTGTGCGTGTGAATGTGCTTGTGTAAATGTGTGTGTGAATGTATGTCTATGCAAGTATGTGAATGTGGGAGTAATGGATCTGTACTTGCATGTGTACACAAGTATGGTGTGTGTGTGTACACATGGGTGTGTTGGTGGGGATGTGGGTGACATTACTCAGAAGATAGGAGGGCTGTGTCTTGCCATTCTTCTGATTCGAGGGTCTTTGTTGACCACTAGGAAAATGGGGTTTCCCTTCTCTGAGGGCATTCTTGGTCCAGTGAGCAGACAGCCCTTTCCTGAACTTCTGACCGGGGCTTGGGGAACTGGATCCCTCTCAAGTGACTCTCCCCACTGTGAGCACCAGCACCACTGCCCTGCAAACCCCCATGGGGTGGGCTGGCATCTGCAGGTCTGGCTTCTTCAAAAAGCATGTCTCTGTCACAGCGGATGGTCCCAGCACCTTCCTGAGTTCAGCCCGGTGCTGGGCACTGGGGGTCTAGGAGCGGCCCTGACATGATGGTCAGGAGAAACGTGTGGGCCTAGAGCAGGACTCCTTGAGATGCAGTGGCATGGTAATACAAGTGTGGCTGATTCAGCATGGGACTGTGGGGCCGTCTGGATGGCAGTGAGAGTTCTGAGGTCTGGTGAGAAGACGTGTGTGGGGGCAGCTGGCAACTGGGGTCTGAGTTCTGATGAGGAAACTGCATGGAGGCACCCTTAGGTCACATGGGTGGCCTGGGTTGGCTTTCAGTGAGGAAGGCAGCTTTCTGGGGACTGGGGCTCCACAAATGACAGCTCAAACAGTTCAGTGGAGTCACAAGTGTAGCCACAGACATTCCTGGAGGCTGGAAACCCAGATTGGGAGCCAGATAGAGCGGTATCCACATAGATGAAGCAGGATGGGGGAGCTGGGTCTGGGCCTGGCTGCCCAACAGAAAGGGAAAAATAGAAGAGGGACTTCCAGGCAGGGGTGGGACGTGGGGTCCAGTGTGAACAGTGAGACTGTGGGGAGAGTCCCAGCAGGGGAGCAAAGTAAGGCCCAGGTGGCAGGGTATGAGAAGGTTCTTCACAGGAGGGAAGTTATACGGGAGAAGAGCTCCCAGCTGCTAGGCAGGAATCAGGGCTAGACTCCCATCCCTCATAAGTAAGTTCCTAAGAGGGGTGGGTGGGACAGCAAGCCCTGAGCCCTCTGTGGGCCCAGCATGGGCTGAGTGTTCTTCATACATGATGTCATTTAGTCCTTAACAACCACATGAGCAGGCACTGTTATCCATCTTTAACCCATAAGATGTCAGGGGCGTCAGGGGGTGGTCACCAGGTTCTACAGGGGTCAAAGTTGTCCAGATGAGCCTAGGCATCTGAGGACAAGGCCCTTACCTCCCATGCCTCCTAAGGGAGCTGGCTTTTATACCAGGGCACTGTACAGGCACTGGGCATCCGGGTACAGTTCTGAATGTACTCCCTTCTGGAAACAGGTGATCTCAGGCTCTGGACTGGGCTGGAAAGGGTAGGAACAGGTGGACGTCCCAAGCAGGAGGCTCAAACTCTGACCCTAAGACTGAGTAAGAAGGCCATCTTGGGGAGTGAAGGCAGGAAGCCTGCAGAGGCGGGAGGGACAGATTAGGGGTGGGGGGGCACTTTTTTTTGTGGACAAGTCACATTTGGCACTTGAGGAGGCATCCAACATGGCAAATAGGGATGAAGTAAGTGGCTTTCCAGAATAGAAATTTCCAGAAAGTTCTGGAGGTTGGGAGTCTGAATTCAAGGCACTGGCAGGGCCATGTTCTCCCTGCTGGCTCTTGGGGGAGGATCCTTCCTTGTCTCTCCCAGCTTCTGGTGGCCCTAGATGTTCTTGGTGTTCCTTGGCTTTGAGATGTAACTTCACATGGTGACACCTTCTGTGTTGATGTCTGTTCTCCGCTTTCTACGGCACTGCGCAGAAGAGACTAGGGCATACCATGCTCCACTATGACCTCATGGTAACTGATGATGTCTTCAAAGGAAGACCCTACTTCCAAGCAAGATCGCATTCACAGATGTAGAGGTTAGGACTTGAATAGGTCTTTCTGGATGAAACAGTTCTACCTGTAATAACAGTTTCTGTCTCCCTCTGGTGAATAAGAAATGAGTTAAATCAGAGATTGAAAACTTGTACTCTATTTGGTGATTTCTGTTAGAAAAAAATAATCATGGGTTTTAGACTCTGGGTAAAAGTTTTTAAAGAAACACACCCAGAGCCCTCCATGGTCCCAGACATGTCAGGGTCGCCTCTTGGACCCCAGGTGCTGATTTTCTGTGCCTTCTGTGTTCAGAACATGACCAACACAGTGGTGAGGACCACGCTGCGCAATGATCTGTGCCCAGAGGGCATCATCCACTACCTGAAGATCCTGAGCCCTATCCACTGCGCCTTCCAGAACGACCTCCTGACATCATCGGGGTACACCCCAGAATGGGGGTGAGTGGGATCTCCTCACTGCCCCGGGGAGGGCTGACCCCTCCCTCCTCTTCACAGCTGGGCTCCTCTCTAGCATCTACACTTTGGGTTTCTTTGTGGTTTTGACAGTTTGAGGACCCTTCTTTGGAATTAGAGTCTCTGGGTGCTAAAAGTGGGTCATGCATTTTGCTGTTAACCTAAAAGGCTGAGAGTTCTAGTCCACTCAGAGGTGCCTTCGAAGAAAGGCCTGGTGATCTACCTCTGAAAAATCAGCCATTGAAAACTCTGTGGAGCACAGTTCTACTCTGACACACCCAGGTCCGCCATTAGTTGATGCAACTCTGAGCTTTCTGCCACTAGAGGGGCTTTTTGGAGGAGTGGGAAGGAGAGGAGGCACAGAAATGATTGTCCTGAAAATCACTCCCTCTTACAGGGTCTATACCATCATTGAGGACCTCCATGGAGCTGGAAACTTTGTCACTGAAATGCAGTTATTTATCGGAGATTCTCCTATACCTCAAAATTATAGTGTGTCTGCCAGCGATGACATCAAGATTGAAGTAGGGCTCTATAGACAAAAAAGTGACCTCAAGGTGGTTCTGACTGAATGCTGGGCAACCCCATCTAGCAACGCCAGGGACCCAGTGACATTCGGCTTCATTAATAACAGGTAGGGCTCTGGTGGGCACTGGGCACCACTGCCACCTCTGGTATGCTGCTTACAGGGGGAACCTCAAAATCTCCAGATAGACATTGAGATGAACCTGGATTTGGAGTCATGCCCCACTGGAGATAACCCCTATTAGGGATTATTGGTCTAACCAGTCTCTTCTGGGTTTCTAGAGCTCTGTGGGAATCTTTTGTATGCAGTGAGATCAAACGACGAGTAAACCCATTTGAGACCAAGGACAGAAGGGCCAGCTTGTACTCAATGAATCTCCTCTCCTTTCTTTGCAGCTGTCCCATTCCCAACACATACACCAGTGTCATAGAGAATGGAGACTCCAACAAGGCCCAGCTGAAGCTGAAGATCTTTTCCTTCATCAACAATTCTATCGTCTATCTGCATTGCAAACTTCGCATCTGCATGGAATCACCTGATGCTACATGCAAAATAGTAGGTGTTTGGGTTTTCTAAGTGTTTGTCTGCATTCATTCCTTATTGTTGTGTAGAGGAGCCCCTGGCTAGTGCTAATGGTTAAAGTGGGAACCCACCCAAAGGTGCCTCAGAAGAAAGACTTGGTGATCTGCTTTTGAAGAATCAAGTCACTGAGAACCTTGTGGAGCACAATTCTGACCCACAACTCGTTCCATGAATTGGAATATAGTGGATGGCAGCTGGTTTTATTGTTATCCAGAAAGTTCCTTTGTTATCAAAAGCCAACGTCTCTGGTGATTCAGAAGCCTGACTTCTGAGAGGAGGGACTGTGCCCACCAGGCATCACATCTAAAAGATGTGGATGATGTACCACAATGGGCAGTGTTTGGGTAGAAGTCCGGTAACTGAGTTTGTGGGGCATTTTGGCCCAGGTAGTATAGTGGACTATGAGCTGGACTGCTGATTGCAAGGTCAGCAGTTCAA